CCACCAAGTACTAAGTCATGTTTTGCAGAGGCGTCAAATACTTATTTCCCTCATTAAAATGCAAATAAATTTATAACATTTTTAACATGCGTTTTTCTGGCTTTTTGTTGTTGTTATTCTGTCTCTCACTGTTCAAATAAACCTACCATTAAAATTATAGACTGATCATTTCTTTGTCAGTGGGCAAACGTACAAAATCAGCAAGGGATCAAATACTTTTTTCCCTCATTGTAGGCTGTAAAGTGACAATACCAGAACTGTCTAATAATGGGGAAATACACACGGGGAAATGTACAATTCCTGGAATGTTTTCCCTCACTGTATTTAGTCTGTCCCCATAACGGAATGTGGGTTGGATGCAGTGCAGTATTGGTCACGTGGCCATCTAAAAATGCCCCCCTCACTTCTATTCATCTCAAGATATCACGAGCACACTTTTATGAAATGGCGGTTGATCAAATATGGCTGCGATTCCTTAGAGCCATCCCAATGCTGCTTTAGCTGCCTCTTTATCCCCACCCAACCCAGACCGGCTCGTCCTTCAGTTTTGACTTTTAGATATGTTACGTCACATTATCACCACAGTCCCTGCGTTGAGCAATTTCTAACCCCCCCCCCCCACTGCTCAACACGTAGTTCAACCCATAAAAACCGCATTTGAATTGCAAGCAGCTGGAAACAAGTTGTGTGTTTAATCTGTTACGCACCTCCCCCCCCCATAGCGTCACTTGAAGCTTTAGTGTGAACCCAGCCTAAGAGTGGAGACCGCTCACGATCCTTTGATTGCAGTGGTGGTCAATGCGTGGAACGTCACCCACGGGTGGATCCCAGGATGATTCGGAACAAACTGCAAAATAAGCGGGTGACAATTTTCGTCATGGCCGAGGGCAAATATACATCTCCAAGAATTCATATACATGCAACGGTCCTCCACAACGGTCCGCATAACATCAGCATTCCATAACATCAGCATTCCATAACATCAGCATTCCATAATCCCCTACATGCTGACCACTGGCGGAGCCAGTGGGGGGTGGGGTGGCACGTGCCCCCCCCCAATGATCCGATCGAAATCCCTAATTTCGATCGGATCATTGGGGTTTATTAGTAATAAATCGGCATTTTGCGACCCCCACTGCCACTGTGTTGCATTATTACGTGCCAGGGACTCTATGAGATGATAGGACAATCGTCTGAGTCCATAATTGGCAATAAGTAACGGCAAAGCAGTTATAAGCGACTCAGAATTGTGCGCAGTTGCGTACACAGAGTTCACGACTTCCCTGAAGGCATCAACACCTTCAGCGAGCGCGATGCCGATCACACCACGCGGTTCGAATTTGACCCTCGATCGATGACTGAGCCATCGCCGCACACGCGTCGAATACAAAGCAAGGGACAAGTCCTTACTTGCTAACAACTCCTCTGTCATTTTTCATTGCTGGAGGGGTTGCCCCCCACTACCTGAAAATCCTGGCTCCGCCATTGATTGCTGACGATGTGTGTGATTAGTGACTGGGAATCTGGTGACAGGGATGAGGAAAGGAGAATGGGGACGGTGGGGATAACAGGGGACACGTCGGAGGAGGAGGGACGAGAGGAGAGAGCTCTGTATGAAAGAGGGAGCTGTGTCTATGTGTGACGGAGATGGAACAAACGGACTTGGAACCCTTAACGCTCTCGTCGTGGTGGTGAGGACAGAGTGGCAGCTACTTGCATGCCGTATTAAAATAATAATAACATCCACCAATAGGTGGCACTGGTAATTTATTTCTAGAGACGAGTCAGGGGTGGAAGCAGGTTTATTGCATGTTGGTGGTGGATCGCAGATCCCCGGTGGAGATCCATCAAAGTGCATCAGAGTGTTGTACTGCAAAGCACAGACATTCAAGCACATCCTCCAACGCTGCTGTGTTATACTGCAAAGCACAGACATACAAGCACAACCTCCAACGCTGCTGTGTTATACTGCAAAGCACAGACATACAAGCACATCCTCCAACGCTGCTGTGTTATAGTCCGTACTTCACCACAGTCAACAGGCCCGGGCATTTAACTTTGTACGATTCAAATCCTTAAGAATGAACAACGTACAGCAGGTTCCCACAATCTCGATAACATCTTTTCTGGTACAAAAAAAATACTAATCGGCTAAACATATACATTTACAAGTGGTGCTAGAGTTTGGTGTTTTACACCATCATTTCATTTAAACTGAGCAAAACCATTTCATTTATTTTTACCCAATAGGTTAACATTTACTGTGGTGGTGGTGGTGAATTGCGCAAGCAAATTCTAATGATTGGCAGCCTTTTTTAATATCAAAGGCCCAAGGCTTAAGAGTCTATGAAACCGTTTGTTTTGATTTAATAGTTTTTCTGCAACTGTTGTTTGTGCCACGATGGCATTTCGGAGGAGTACGACGACATTAAAAGTGTCGCTCGCTGCTGACAGGTGTCAAGCGAGTTTATTGATCGGTGTTGTGTAATTGTTTTAATAAATATTCCTTAAAGCCACAATCATCTTACTTTTCAGAGCAGCCACGGTGGTGTAACTTAACTTGATCATCTTCTCTCATTCGTGTGTTCCCTTTTTTGGTCTCTATAATGGACATGCATCCGATTCATATGTCAAAGCATGACGTATGTTCTGGTTAAATAGAAATATCTTTTTTAGGCACATTAATATGCTGATTTGCATGATCAAGTTCAATTATTCCAAAATCACGCCAACCTGCTGTCTTCAACGTTTTTCATAAATTTGATCCTCATTTGGCTTCAATAACTCCCTTGGGTATACCAACACTAATACATTACCCAGTTGTATGCGTCCAACATTTATATTCAATTATGTAGCAAATTGTTGTAGACTACTATTCTTTAAAGTTTGATTTAAAGCTTTCGTGACTACAGGGATTCATATTCTTGGTTCTTTCGGTAAAGTCACGTAGAAGGGAAGCAATAAAATAATAAAAATATAAAACAATAAAATTCAAGCAATCATCATCAGGTGTGAAAAGCACACCTGATGATGATTGCTTGTGTTGCAGTCGAAACGTCGTGATAATTTTATTGTTTTATATTTTTATTATTTTATTGTTCCCTTTCTACGTGACTTTACCGAAAGAACCAAGAATACTATTCTTTAGCTGATATTTATATCATGAGGACAACCTTACGACATTCTTTATTATATTTTTAAAATATAGGTTCCTGTTGTTTTTTTCCCACATGTTATTTTAATCATTCTGGAAATGATCAATCAATATCCAGTACAGTACCCATTTGTACATTATGAAAAGGCATTTGACTCGGTGCAAATCATAAAAGCACTCACAAAACAAGGCCAGAATAAAATATATTTAGATAAAAAGTCTTCACAAGGAAGGAACAAAGAAACACGCTTTCTCAAAAGTTATTCATAGTAACATTAGAAGAGCTTTTCCAAAATCCGAATTTAGCTAAATTAATGCAAACACATACATGGATTTTTTTATCATCTAAGATTTGTTGATGACAGACACACCACGGAGTGTCATACCTAATTAACAACTAATTACATGGAAAAAAATCACCCCCAATCATCACTATTGTGGGATTTTATTTATTAATCAAATTGTTTCCTTGAAGATCTTGAATCACCAGCTTGCATTGATCCAAATCAAGGAGTGGAACCGCTCCGGCCCTTAATTGTTCGAGTATATTCCTGTTATCAGAGGATCATTATGGGTCCTAAGATCCCCTTCTTCAACCTGCACTGACGAGCATTATAAAGTTCAAACAACCCCCAATGTCCGACACACGCCCGTTGTGTCTATCCAGCAGTGGATAGACACAACGGGCTGCACACACGAGTTGGAGACTCGGCAGACACATGACCAGTGAATCATAACTTGGGGCAAAGCCCTGGGAAAATATTAGTATTCGACTCAGATATGCTTGGTCAGTGAGTCATCTTCGAGGACAAAGCCCTGGGCAATAATTGACTGGCAATGAATGTGGACCAGGGGATACAAAGGGGAGAGAGGAGAGTGGAGTTCTGCATGCGGAGTACTGAATCCTTGCGTGTGCTACCTGCCGTATGACCGTGGACGTCACCGGTGGGTGATCTAATAAAAAACACCATTGCTGAACACGGCGTGAGCGGAATCCTTTCACATGCACTGTATACGCATTCCGAGAGGTTCAATAAAAGGTGATTGTGAAAAGGAGTGGGTGATGAGGCGCATCGTTTCCTTGTGTCAGGAGTGATCGCATGTATGTGAGATGTATCAGCCTCACATGAGTACATGATGTGGTAGTAAAATGTCAGCACCAATTCGGATAAATGGGAGATATCTCTATTTGTGTAAAAAAAAACTCAAAACGTAATTAGCAAACGTTTTGTTGGAAACCAAAATCATGATTGAGTCGGGAAGGCTATGGCTTGAAGGGGGTGCGTGGGGGAAGTGAGGTTGTGAAGGAGTTTTGTGGAAATGCTTTGCATGTGGCGGTATTGGTTTGTGTGTGTGTAGGCAGGTGGCGAGCGGTAGTGGAGCGGGTAGCGCTACGAACCTGGCGACTCCAACTCGATTCCCGCTCACGGCCAACACCAGTGACCATTATCTGAACCGGTCCTGGGCCTCCCCTAAGTCGACTCAGTCTCAAATGAGTACCTGGTACGGTGTGCAAACATCGCCACTAGGGAGACAAAGGCGGCAGGACGTGGTGTTGGCCACCCACCCCCTCGTATTCCGTGCCGGCCATCATAAGTGATCGCCAACAGCACTTGCCCCAACAGTATGTTCAGGTTATACGGGGGATCTTTGTCTTTGTATGAACCCATCAAACTGAGTTTAGAACCTTGAACAACATCAGAACATCAGCAGCAGTAGTGGCTGCATCATCATCAGCATCAACAATGATCAGAATCAACATCATAACAATGGTAACATTAATCATTAATTATCAATAGCATAAAGCTGACTAAATCACCAGCGCAATCATCACTATGGCATCGTCTTTGTTTTCAAAGTACTTTTATTTATTTTTTCGCAGCCGGACAGGATCACAATGTTAAAGCGAATTACTTCAGAAGGGGTTGGGGCGAGTATTTATCAATAGGCTCATTGCAGACACACAAACTTCATGAGAGACGCCTTCACCTGAGCACGTGCGCTGTTTGTGTGCGGAGCGGTGGCGGATTGCGCTTCGAACCATTCCGTCGACCCGAGTTCGATTCCCGCTCACGACCAAATAGCAGTGGCGAACGTCTTAATCTAGATCCTGGGGTTTTCCTTAGTGCGACTCAGCCATAAGTGAATACCGAAGTGCGATGTGTAAACATCAGCACTGTGTTATACCGTAATTGTGTGCCATGGGAACATCAACAGGCGATGGTCTCAACAAGTTTTAATAAAATCTTAATACGCAAAGGTGTACGTTGTATGTGTGTGTGTGTCATACAATAATAACTACGTTACGAATGCATCTGCTATCACTGTCGTGGCCGCCGCGCTCCGAGCCCCATTTTAGCCTTTCAGCAGAAACATCGTGGTGGTCAGGAGAGGCAGGGTCAGGCTTTGAAAGAGGGGGTCAGACAAGCCCCGTGCGGATCCGCTGTTGCAGTTGTCAGAGTTGCAGCATATGGATGCATTTTTGCAACTGTCCTCGCAACCTTTTCCTGAAGGGAGCAAGCGGGGAAATATGTCACGTGTTAGCAGGGACGATGGGGATCGAGATGGCCGGGCAACTGTTGAAACACGAGAAGGGAAAAGCGAACAAAAAGGTGATGTCCGTTTCAAGTGACCTCTGGTCCACACAGTAGGGAACAGCACTGCCACTCGCCCAGCCACAGAGAGCAATGTTCGTTGAATGACAGTCGAACCGACGGTGTGAATTGTCAGTGCTGGAATTTATACAAATTAAGCGCAAAACCAAATGTTAATGTGATGGGGGTTTTTATTTCTCTCGTGCAACGATGACTGGGCTGAGTCTAAAGCACTCCACTAGAGAACCCGGTAAATCACAGGCAGCTGCTTGGATTCGAACCCAGGCTCTCAAGCGGTGCATGCCTGGTCAGCTCTCTGACCTCTGAGCCACCGGGCCACCCCGGCAGGCCATAATTGTTCATCTGGCCACACAGTGGCAGACCAATTGGGGTCTAGCGACTCGCGAGGTCTCATGAGCTACGTGTCTCACACTCTCACGACGGCACTCACTGGATTCCCACGCACTTATCAAACTTTTAGAATCTGTACACTGGAAAAAAACTAAAAAGACTCTAGCGTGCATAACAATTCCCTATCACGTGGAATTGGTGAAACACCACCAGCACTCACTGCAGGAAGTCATTTGTAGATAAAGTTATTGTTGAACCAGTGGTCGATATCCCACATTACTATGTCAGAAGCTGGTCTTTATGTAGGACAAGCATTAGTGAATTATTGTAAAGAAGTGCTCTACTTTTTGTATCTGCTTTAGAGGGATGATCAACTGAGTAAACTCCCAAGCAGGATTTAGGCTTGCAATTTGACGTATTCAGGTATGTGTACCCATGCATCTATTAATCGATTAAAATAAATTCATGCTCACAATACATGCTACCTATATACGAATATATGCATACCCATTTACGGTCTTCGGCCAGGAAAGTCACAAAAAAAATTCACACGAACGACGCATTCACGCAAGCACCCGATGCTCCGTTTTGAAATTTTAAAAATAAACATCTTTGAATTGTGTTATGTTTTGAATTAGATAATTGTATTTCTTTATTAAAAGCTTATATCATTTTACATCTGGAAGACTTAATTGAAAACGACATTTCGTGTGAATTTTCTCCCGTCGTTAAGTAGATGGCCTTGCTGGGAGTTCGGTTCAATTACATCATAATATAATTGCCTACACTTTATAAAGATACATTTTTTGATGGTGATGTTGTTAGTGGTAGTACTAGGCATGCTGGCGCCAACACTTTTTGTGGCCCATGAGGAGGTCAGCCAGGAAGAGAGACCCCGAGCTCGCTACGCTACTCACTGGTTCCGTTGAAATCCGTGATGCAGTGGATGGCCTTGTCAGCTGGACACTTGATTGGTTTCGAATTCTTGCATTGATCGACGCCATTACACACATGACATTCCAAAGCATGGCCTGAGAACAGACAGTACAGAAGCGATGCCATTTTACACAGCGTCTACTTGCAACGACATCTCAAGACATTTCACGGCAGTGGAGTGACCCTCGTTGTGTAAACATCGTGTATGGCGCGAGACACAGGGGAGGTTCTTGTGCAGTAGGAACGGTCATTAAGACATTGAGTTAGGAGGCAGTCAGACATAGAGAACAAGAAGGAGGTCTTAAGCCTGGGCTTGAACAGAAAGACTGAATGAGCAGTGAAGAAGACCAGGAGGCGAGAGTTGCAGACAGTAAGGCCAGCACAGGAGAGGCAGCGACCTCCCATTGAGTGGAGGTTTCCTGGAGGATTCGATACAAACGCTTGATTTTCTGAAGCGAAGAGCGCATTAAGCGAGATGAGAGGGGAGAGATAGTCAGGGGCGAGACCGTGGAGGATGTTGAAGACAGTAAATGCAATATTGTACTTCATGAAGGAATTAATTACAATATGCATCAGGTTGATGTGATATCGTTTACGAGTTTGGGTTAAAACTATGGCAGCTGCATCTCAGATCATCTTGAGTTCGGAGATGATGTATTTGAGAGACTGTAGAGGAAAGAGTTCCAATTGTAAGGACGTAAAGAAGGCATGGGATAAGGAAGTTAGTGAATATTGAGAGATGTTGCACGGATGGAAGCAGGAGGTCATGCAGAGTTGAGTGATGTGGAAGAAGGAAAGTCCAGGATGAGCGGTTGTCACTAAGGACATGGACAAACTTTGTGAATTGTCACGTGCGAATGTTGAGCTGTAGTTCACAACATTCTGGTGAAGACACCCCGTGTATTTGTACTCCCAACGGCGTGCTCTCCTCATCCAGCAGTGGATTGACACGAGGGCTGTGCACGTGCGTGGACTGCACACACGGGCGGGGTCGCGGTCAGTTTCTCATTATGGAGACCACTGGTAAAATTTCCACAAAGCGGTACTTATTTCCTCGACCCTAATCTACACGCGTTTTGTCAGAAGTAACAGAATCCTGTAAACAAAATAACAACGTTACAGCCATTCATGAATCCACTGCTGCATGCAAGTCTCGCTCCCTCCGCTACGTCCATCACGTAGGGTGTTGTTTTTACCATACTTCACCACCTTGGCCATTGCGGGTTGGTCAAGCTTTGCTTTGGGCGGCATCCAGGACTGGTTCAAATAATACTCGCGAGTGATCTTATCTGTGGCCGGGAATTAACCTTCCTTGGCTTGTCAGGCTCAATAGAGTGCACTAACCACTTCACCACCGCTCCTCGCAATCCTTCCATAGTGTAACAGCGACTGCCAACATTTATGGACCATGGGGGGCCCCACTGTCAACAATAAAACATCTGGAATTTTGTGGGGGGGGGGGCGGAATAATAACAAATGGTATCTGCAAGATTTCCACGGGCCACTGCCGTATTCAATGCCGTACACTCAGAAGTCGACAATTGGCATTCGGCTCCTGAACACATTGCTGCCCCTTCGCAAGAACTGAACAGAAGAAAGAAGACGCGATTTTCAGAGCGCTAACAAACCGCGTGCCGTGAAATCACCGTGTGTTCATGTCACACGGGACTCGCGTTACGCTCACGAGACACAAATTAACGGCCCGGGTGACACTCGAAGGAGCTTTGGGGACTTTGAAATGGCGTTGATCGGTCCATCATCCATTGCGCTACCATTATTCGAACAGCGGCGTACAAACGCAATGACCTAACGGTGCACAGCAGATGTTATAGGCTGCCCCCGGGGCTACATTGTGATCAGATGGCAGTGCAAACATATTCTATTGTTGTATCGTACTATGCTCCATGCTCCCCACCTTCACGAACCCGCAGTGCCCAGCACGGTGAGTTACGGTCAAAGACTCGCACGAGGCGGGGAGGCCATCATCCAGGAATGGATTGACGAAGCCCTGCATTGACAACGCACCTGATGTGAGCAGGAGGGCGAACAGGCAGGCGAGGAGAATGAGCAGGTGAGGAGTGACCTCCATCACGGCGACCTGGAGAGACGATTACGAGGAGTACGGAAAGGACGTGGGGAGGGTGGACCACCAAAGAGGAGATGGAGCGAGTGGAGAGCGGAGCCTCACAGTCTCTTTATATATAGAGAGGCAAATCTGGCTGTGTTGGGACTGCGGTGGGACCTGCCCTTACGAACCTCCAAAGACGACCGCACAAGAAAATGTGTGCTTGCAGATTAGGACCAGACGCAACCACAGTGGAGCTCTTGGGTTATATTTTGCGTGTTTATGTGAGATCAAAGATATCGCCATTTCATAAGAACGTCGCCATCATCATCATAATCATCGTCGTCGTCGTCGCCATTAAAAACAGCGGTAGCAGGCTAAATTTGTAATCTGTTGCAACCCCCCAAAGTGACATACGAAAGAGTAATATAAATAAGAATAACAAGCAGCTTCATCATCTTCATGGTTCTTTCGGTAAAGTCACGTAGAAGGGAAACAATAAAATAAAATAAAAAATCTAAAACAATAAAATTCTCACGACGTTTCGACTGCAACACAAGCAATCATCATCAGGTGTGAAAACCACAACAAAATTTTTTGAAAAAAGTGGCGTTTATTTTTAACGTTAGCACCACGGAGAGCGATTTGACAGTTTGTTCAGATGGACGAGTCCATCTATGTTCGGAAAAGAGGAGGGGGAGACGACAAATAATGGATGCGGTCTGAAAGCCACCTTAAGCGTGATCAATCAATTAAGACCCGAAATGGTTTATCAAATCCTTCCAATGATTGCTAAGCCAGAATCCATCTTCTTGGTTGAAATTGTCTCTGTGTTTGTATATGTGGATAGCCTCATGAACGAATCTCTCATGGTAGCCAGATGGCTTACAAAGAACCTCTGTCTTGGAGAAGTCAATGTCATGTAAACCTACTGAATCATAACAGTGATCTGCCACGGCCGAGGTGTTGGTCCTACCGTGTTTTAGGTCTGCTTTGTGTTCACGAATGCGGTCCCGAGACATGTCGTTTGGTTTCTCCAATGTAACTACTACCACAGAGGCAACTTAGTTTGTAGACGCCATGGTACTGTATGTCCGGAATCACATCTTTTACAGATGGAACCTAGTCACGGATTTTATGTAATGTGTTGAATCGGACCTTGATCTTGTGTTTATTCAAGATTTTTGGAGATCTTTTTTGTGATCCCCGCAATTTAGGGTAAAGTGATGGTTTTGAAAGGTTCCTCAAGAGGGTCCTTCTTCATGGTTGGAGTGACAGCTTTGCGGATTGTGTAGTCGGAATAACCATTAGCCTTAAGAGCTTGGTGTACGTGCTTGAGCTCACTGGCTATATGTTCCTGGTCGGATATGCATTGGGCTCTATGGTGCAGAGTCTTGATGAGGGAATTCTTCTGGGATGGATGGTGGTGGGAATCCGGTTTCAGGTAAGAATCCGTATGGGTAGCTTTCCTGTAAACAGAGTGGCTCATTGAACCATCAGGTCTCTTTTTTATTAGGACATCCAAAAAAGGTAGCTTACCATCTTTTTCGACTTCCATGGTAAATCTGATGGCTGGGTGCATGGAATTGATGTGGTCGAAGAATTGGTCTAGAGCAGGCATTACATAAAATCCGTGATTTGGTTCCGTCTGTAAAAGATATGATTCCGGACATACAGTACCCTGGCGTCTACAAACTAAGTTGCCTCTGTGGTAGTAGTTACATTGGAGAAACCAAACGACATGTCTTGGACCGCATTCGTGAACACAAAGCAGACCTGAAACACGGTAGGACCAACACCTCGGCCGTGGCAGATCACTGTTATAATTCAGTAGCTTTACATGACATTGACTTCTCCAAGACAGAGGTTCTTTGCAAGCCATCTGGCTACCATGAGAGATTCGTCCATGAGGCTATCCACATGTACAAACACAGAGACAATTTCAACCGAGAAGATGGATTCTGGCTTAGCAATCATTGGAAGGATTTGATAAACCATTTCGGATCTTAATTGATTGATCACGCTTAAGGTGGCTTTCAGACCGCATCCATTATTTTCCGTCTCCCCCCTCCTCTTTTCCGAACATAGATGGACTCGTCCATCTGAACAAACTGTCAAATCTCTCTCCGTGGTGCTAACGTTAAAAATAACCGCCACTTTTTGAAATGTTCTTGTTATGATTTTCACACCTAATGATGATTGCTTGTGTTGCAGTCGAAACGTCGTGAGAATTTTATTGTTTTATATATATTAATTATTTTATTGTTTCCCTTCTACGTGACTTTACCGAAAGAACCAAGAACATGAATCCCTGCAGTCACGAAAGCTTTAAATCAAAATTTAGCTTCATCATCATTATCATCATGACAATGTTCATTTACCTATGGAAATCCCCTTGAGTACGGATACATAATAATGTCATCAGCAGCAGCAACAGTTCCAGCAGCAAGAAGAATACCATCAGCAGCATGGCGTTATCATAATCATTGATATAATTTTTCCAGGAAAGCTTCATTACAGTTTCATGCCTCTTTCCATCAGCAGCAGTCCCAGCTTGAACAATATCTTCATCTCCATAATAAAAAATGTTGGGGTAAGATCGCGTAAATATAAATGTGTCGTTAAACCCGCCACCACCCGACACAGCCAATTAGTAAGGTTTATAACGTTAACAGACCGTGCCAATTCGTTACTTGTACAGCACACCGGTGTGTTGGAGAGCAAACCTGCAACATGTACTAGTAACGAATTGGCATCTTCTGTTTACGTGACAAACCTTACTAATTGGCTGTGTCGGGTGGTGGCGGGTGTAACGACCCTTTTATATTTACACGATCTAACAAAAAAGAAAACCTCTACTATGGATGATATTGATCGCAAATGGCTACGTGTTAAGCTCAATATCTTCATCTGCATCATCATCATCATTATGATCATCTGCCAGGATGACTTTATGATACAGAACCACCGATTAAAAGTTTAACCGAATTTTGTTCATACAAGGAAAGAGGGCAGCCCTCATCTTCACTGGCTTTCCTGAACCAGTAGTGGAAATGACACATTCCTATGGCGGGAAACGACCACTACTTGTTTACCTCCCACAGAGTGGTGACACATTTTAGCGACCTCAAAGAATGATGGTGATGAAGATTATAATAGGGCTGAGTTCCACCCAACCGGGAATCGAACTCATGGGTTTTCCACTGAGTTTCAAGTTTCATTTTCAAGTTTCATTTATTAGGTATAGCCCTGTGAGCCATGCGGCTCTTAAGTCGGGTGCAACCGCAACAAGCAAAATTTGAACACAGAACATGTTAAAGCGACAGAAACATCCTGGAATAAACCAGCAAATATTCCACACAAAAAAAACGTATTAAAACGCTGTGTGCAAAAATCAATGTGGTGCAAGCCAACAACAACAACCACAAGCCAATTTAGACTAACCATATGTGGAGGACTTACCATGCCAACACCCGATTAAAGCGCTTTAAGTAACCCGTCTGGATGTTATCTCCTCGCTTTTAATAGTGCTGGGTAGGTCTGGGCATTTCAGTTTCCTCAAACATGAAGCAAAACATTTTATCGCTTAAAATAATTGGCCAAACGTATGAATGTGGAGAGGGGCTATGACCAAATCATGCACAATGTGTCCGATCTGGTCAGATCTCCAAAGCCAAGCAGGCACGAACCTGCATAGTGCTTGGATGAGCGACCACCATACTTTAAACCGGTGTTGTAGTTTTTTTCAGAGCTAAACTAAACAAAAAAACTATGTTTTAGTTTACCAGGTAAGGCCACTGAGCTATTTAGCTATTTTTCTAGAAGCGACCTAAGCCACAAATGATAGCTCAACGAAGTGGCCCATAATGTGGACATTTATAGCAGCCAAATGCTCTAAACGCATCTTCATTAATGTGGAGGTGAAAACCGGAGCACCCGGATAAAAATGCACACGATCACGGGGTGAGAGACACCGCAGACTCCAAATGTACAGGCGTTAGAGTCGGGATCGAACACACGACCTCCTGTATACCAGGCAACGGAGTTAACATCTCGCTACCAAGGCTACGTTGTGGGAAGCAGAGGGCGGTGAAGCGAAATACACCATCGTACTGTACTTATGTGCTGTAAAAAAGGGCCATTGGCCCACACGTCGCCCATTAAATTTGGTGTTTTGGACTGCACAGCACTATTTATGCTCGATGCACTGACCAGCGTGGTAAATTGCAGGATGGTCAAATCACTCTCATGGTCCCATGTTGTGGGGAGGGCCTCGTATAGCAGTGGAGCTGTGGATTGAGAAAATTACTCGAAGATTTTTTTGGCATTATTATTTGACGCCAACAGTCTGAGGGCATGCAGGCCAAGTTTTAAGCATCACTGGAATGAAATCGGAGTGAGACTGACAGAGAGGATGGCATTAACGATTGACGCCCACCTCCCCACTCCCTGTGAGCGGGCGGGGCGCGACGTCCACCCCCTCCACTCCCCCCTCCTCACTGCTGGAGTGGGGGGGGGCACGTGCCCCCCTAATGATCCGATCCAAATTCCGAATTTCGATCGGATCATTGGGGTTTATTCGTAATACATCGTCATTTTGCGAACCCCACTGCCACTGTGTAGCATATTATTAAGTGCCAGGGACTCAATAAGATGATAGGACAATAGTCTGAGTCCATAATTGTCAATAAGTAACGGCAAAGCAGTTATAAGTGACTCAGAATTGTGCGCAGTTGCGTATACAGTGCACGACTTCCCTGAAGGCATTCACCTTCAGCGAGCACGATGCCGATCACACCACGCGGTTCGAATTCGACCCTCGATCGATGACTGCTCCACCGCCGCGCACGCGTCGAATAAAAAGCAAGGGACAAGTCCTTACTTGCTAACAACTACTTACTAACAACTCCTTACTAAAAACTCCTTACTTACTAACAACTCCTCTATCATTTTTCATTGCTGAAGGGGTTGCCCCCCCTACCTGAAAATCCTGGCTCCACCATTACCCCTCCTCCTCGTTGGCCACCTCTCGCTGGGCCCTCGCCAATCAGGTGATCGGCCCCCCTGCGCCAGCGCCCTCTCTAAGGGACATGGCTAAGTGGCTGGCTCACCACCGGTGATCTCGTACACGCCCACATACACCACCACTAATACGAAGGTGGCTGCGTGCACGCACGCGCCCCTGCAGGCGCTCGTTTTACACAAAGGCTAGCGCTAAAGAAAACGGCTGTGTGAATATGCGCACGCACCTCCGGGTGTTTAAGCCCTAATCCGCTTGCACACAAGGCTAGCGCTAAAGGGCTGCGCGAATTTGCACGCGCGCCTCGCCGTCAATATGTTTTAATACACGCGCGCCTCACACACACCCCCTGCGCTCGCTCTCACGCACACCGTCTCCCCGCGCAGTCGCACCACACACAAATC